GGGCTTATTAAAGGCAAAGATATTACCTCTGACTCAGGAAGTCCTTGGCCGCAAATTGCTAGAGACTGGAAAGTTTTGCCAGGAAGGTATTCTGTGCTTCCCCTCTTCTTTCACTTCTCCTGTGGCATTCACTGCAGATCCATCGCAGGGGAAGGACACTGGACAGTTGTTGTGGTCTGCTTCTCTGGATCTGAAGACTAACCCAAATTCAGAGCAGTAATGGGCATGCTGACCTACTTTTAAGCATTGCCCAGGGGGGTCTTGGCAGTGTCAGATCCTTCCTTTGGATTTGTCCCTAGCCCTTCCTCACCCCAGATGCCTTCTGACTCTCAGAGAACAACTCTTGGATGTGATGATGTCCTTCACCTCCCCCACCTTCCATTTTTTTCTGTGACCTGCTGGCAGGAACATTTGGCATTTGACTTGCCCTCATAACATTCATGTTTTTCTTGGAGCTCTCTGAGATAGGATTTTTCCCAGCCTGGATGAGTTGCTGTTATTTCTATGGAGTCAGCAGTACAATAGACCCTCCTGGGAGCCAAGGCCTTGCCTGTCTGGTGGCTCAGGCTTACAAAGAGTCAGTCCCACATGCTTAATGTTCCCTTTTGATTTCCAGGATTAGTGCCTGACTGGTGGCAGGTAAGAAGGCAGAACAGCCCAGCACAAAAGGAAAGAAATCAATTAAGTTTACACTGCAATATGTGTTCACTGAGGTCCAGGTTAGAGAAACAGGAACAGAGGAGAGGGCATTGCTGGCACTGGGAGCAGTGAGCAGACAGCAGTCTTGTGGTCATAGAACTAACAATGCCAATGGAGAGGATCTTCCCTCTCATGTTTTTTTGACATGTATGCTATCCATGCTTAATATAAGTCACAATCTAGCAGTTAATGTCTCTGCACTGTGGTTTTCTTATTTTTAAAAGTTGGCTTAAAAGTTCTCAGTTTCTCTAAGCAGAGTAGGTAAAAACTGAGCTAAGGCATATTAGTCACAATATTATCAGGAGATGAAAGTGATAGAGATATAAAGTACTACCAGCTTTTAATTAAAATTGAATAAGTAAAAAAACAGTTGGCAGTTGCAGAATTCATTATGATGTGTTGCCAAAAATAGATACCTTTATGAGAATGCAGTTTTATTACAACAGTGGGCACTAATCAGCTGTAAACATCTTGCTGAGATAGCCAGATAGAAAATGTTACTAATACTCACAACGTGTCTCAATTGGCTGGAATGGAAAACTAGAAACTGTTAAGACACTTAAAATGTGACCTCTGACTACCAAAATAGAGGTATGCACTTCTGTTACTTAAGGCAACATCAGAATTTCAGGAACAATAACAGTATTTTCTGTGTCTGGTTTAAATTTGCAAGGAAAACTCAATTTTACCAAAATGTGACCTGGCTTAGCTGAAATATGCATGACCCCATGTTTTTATTTCTTCTTTCTGTAGAATAGTCAGACTTGCAATTTAGATCCTCCAAACTTTTATACATTTCATTTGGTAAAAAATGCCTTTGCTCTTAATGAAAACATCTTCCAATATGAGTTTACATGTACAGATCTACAGTTTAGAGCATCTTACTGACCAGTTTGGGATGTATGTTTGCATCTTGTGTAATCTCTGCAAAATTTACTGTCACTGTAAAAATTACTCTCCTCTCTCCTCCTGTAATGTAGAACATCAAGCAATAACAACAAATCTGTGGGTGGTTTATCTGATTTATGCTAATTTGCTATTGACATGCTTGAGGTATCACTTGCATCATCCCAGTCTTGCATATTTATTATTAAAAATATTAGCTGCTTATGAAAAGGAAATATTTTAAATAATGATTCATTTGTGCTGTGATCACCTCTTGAAACCAGGGCCCCATTCTGGTAGACTGTATACAAAATCATTGCAAATGAAGTGCAACCTGAAGTGTTTCAGATAAGCTTGCAACAAGAGGATAATTTGAATCCAGGAAGATTAATATACCCCACCTACAAGGAGCAGGTCTCAACTCATGGAATTTCAACCATTAAACATGAGGCTTCTAAATCACCTCCAAAGCCAGTATGGGAAAGAAGTTACCGCAACCTGTGATTTAGCTCACATAATTTAAAGACCTGAAGCCTTCATGGGAGGCTTAAGCACCAGTATGTAAGCTTGAGCTTATATTTTCAAACTTGGAGGCTTCACCAGTCTCCTAAATTCTTGTGTCGGTACCTAAGTGAGCATACACAGAAGGGATGAGGGAATTGGTGACTCCGTAGCAGTCAGAAGGTGCTGCACGAGGCAAATACTCTTCCTGAAAAAACCACTTACATGCCTAACTTATAGGGCTGAGCTTAAGAAGTAAAGTCACAGGCACAAGCCCCACACTGTAAAACTTCACACACCTTCCTTGGGATCTAAATATTGATAAATAAATTATCCTTTGTAAGCAGTCCCCTGTCCTAGATCTTGCTAGTGCTGATGCTTTCTAACATCACTGATTGACACGGTGCCCTGATACACTGGAACTACATGCCAAGTTCATGGGCTGAAACAAAGTACAACATAGAAAAATGAGTTTCCAGATGTTTTCCACAGGAAAGATTAGAGCTGCAGTATGCCAAAATTTGCAGATATGTGGACTTAAGGAAATTCTGAATCTCTTGTTCTTTGTTGGCATTACTCATAGAAAAAAAATCAGCATGATATTTAAAGCATCCCATGCCAAAGCTGGTACCTATCAATATTTGCAATATTGTTTAGCCTTGCTGTCTCAGTGGGATTTCACCCATTGCTTTTTATTTCAAAACCTTCATTAAAAAAAACCACTTTTTCCATCCAAAAGCTGTATTTACTTCAAGTATTATGTCTTTATGGTAGACTAAACCTTATATATGAGCAATCTAAGATTAACATGTGACAGAGGTTTTTTTCTGAAAACTGGTGACTGCCGCAATTCTGTTTCTGGTGTCCATACCATTGCAGTTTTGGTATTTAATGTTAAATTGTGCCCACTTTTTCCTTCTGATTTGCAAGTGCTTGCCTTTGTTAATGGGTCAGAAGGTATGTTAATATTCTTGGAGACTAAAGCCTTGAAATTATTATTGACATTAGACATTTGAGCTCCTTTTCCCCCAGAATCCACACCTTGTTGATTGAATGAGGCCTTAGTAACATACACAGAAATATCCATGATGCTTGCCTGAATATTCCCTTGGTATTTACAGTAGAATCATAGAATTATAGAGTGGTTCAGGTTGGAAGGGACCTTAAAGATAATCTAGTTCCAACCCCAACACCTGGGGTCAGAGTACCTGGGTCAGAAACATTCCAGAATGCTTTGAATATTGGAAAGGAAAGAAGGGCAAGCTCTGTTTAGGAGGAAGGAAAAATATGGAAATAGACCTGGCATACTGAGAGGTGCTGTGGTGGAGCGATGGCTGCAACACCAATGCTCAGAGTACCTCAGCCAGAGCTGTGCTGGCTCACAGGGCAGTGTGCTCAGTCCAGAACTGGGTGTGAGAGATTTTGGTTGCTCCACAAGTGGTGTCTGCTGTTATCATCCGGAAGGTGATGGTATTAGACAGGCATGCAGGACTGACCATAAGTTAGGAAACACTGATCCTTAATAGTTGTGGAAGGCTGAATGCCAGGGATGCAAAGATGCCAAGATTGGCTGATAGTGTGCAAAAGCAGCACAGGGAACCCAGGCTGAGACGCTGTAGAAGGCAAATCATCAACGCTAAACCCTCCATGTTGACTTGTGTTTCTCACTCCTCCCTTGGCAGTCAAAGCCAACACAGACCACTGAAGGATGTCATTCTCTCCAAACTCTGTGTTGCTACATTACAAACTAGCTTGTGCAGCCAGAGAGAAAAATGTTCTCTTACCTTGGGACACCTTGAGGACTGCACCCCAGGGCACTGCTGCAAAAACATTGCAGAACTGCCCCAAAGGAATGGAAAGCTATGGCAGGTGTTAAGTTTGCTGTTATTACCAGATAAGATTCAAAGACAAACAAATGCATTCAACTAAAAGCCTAGATTTAAAATAACAGAGCGAAGTTAGAAGAATATAAACCAACATGTATACATTTCATTAAGGTTATACTTAGCTATATCTGTATCCATATATCTATCTATCCATGTAGATATATATCTCCTCCTTATCTGCTCTTGTGTCTCAGCTTTTGACTCTGGCTGATAAGTTTCTACATGGAATGCTGGACTGGTGTGCCTCTGGGTACACAGAGTTGCTTACACCTTGCTTTCTTCTTCTGGTAAAGGTGGGGACCTGCATCTCCTCTAGCTCAAGGTGTATTTATTCTTCTTTGTCTGCGCTTCATTCCCTGGCATTGGGCCATCGGGTGTTTTCTGGGAGATGTCAGTATTTCATTCTGCCCCTCCCCCTTAAGGTTGCTTCAATAACATTTCTCTTGTCCATAACACTTTTTAGCTTTTGTTTTTCACTAATTATAGTCTCATTAAAATAGAGCAGCATCACTTACAAAATGATGTGTTATGATAAATAGTACAAATTCCTTCTAAGGTATAAACAATATAAATAGTCTATATAGTGTATATGTATAGTATATGACGCTCAAACACAAACTGATATTGAGGGTAGATCTGCCAGATCTCCTCTACTTCATCCTTTCTTAGATTTTGGGGACTCATCTGTGTGTTACTGGGTTTTGGTGAACTTGAACAGTGAATACCAAAGGCTTTGCACATCTTCAGGCCAGCTTGCTCTCCTTCCCAGCCCTCCTTTCTAGCATTGGCTGTAAATAACCACACACACACACAAAATGATTACCATCTAAAAATCTACATTTTTAAAAATACATTATAATACAGTATTTCTTGCAGTGTCTTGTCGCAGAGTGGTGCAGAAATACGTTGTAGAATCTTAGATATCACTGTGGGATAGAGTTGGGCAAATGTTGGATTTTATATGCTTATTTTAAGTATTGACTATCTTTATTAAATACTAAATAATTTTTTTCTTGTTTCCCATTCTAGTTCGTCAGATATCAGATGATGATGATGAGACCATTGAACAAATCGATGAAGATATAGCTGTGACTCGGAGTCAGATGAACTTTATTTGTCCCATTACACAGGTAATGCTATCAGTGCTACAAAAATTGACTGGGAAATAGTTATTTCATATTCTACATTGGTTGGTTTATTAAAAATCTGCAGTATCTGTTAAAAAACAGGCAGTATAAATTAGAAGTGTTATCAGAGAAGAACAACATTGCTTGGGAAAAAAACCCAGCAAGTAGGAATGCAGTTTACCAAGCAGGGCCTGATCCTGTAATTTGACTGGAATGCCATGTGTGAATGGCAAACACACTTCCTGCTGTTTTACATAAAATCTCATAAGAAGCATTTTCATGGGCATTATCAGTTCCTTTAAATCAAACTTTATTGATTACAGATGGAAATGAGGAGGCCGGTGCGAAACAAGGTCTGTGGACATACTTATGAAGAAGAGGCCATTGTAGAAATTATCCAGTCTCGAAAGCAGAGAAAGAAAAAAGTCCGGTAAGCTAAAACGAATGTGTGGAAAAGCTATTTGCTTTGCTGTGTAAGTGGAATTTTACTCTACTTGTTCTAAGAAATGTATGTGGATTGGCAAGGCTGCAGGAAGTAATACCTCAGCGTCTGCCCAAGTCGCAGTCTTCTCATTAGTACTGTACACGAGAAAGAGCTTTTCTTTTTAATGAAAACAATGTGTAAGAAAATATTCAGAAATTGTGTGGGGAAGTTACAGCTACTTGCGGTACCTGGACAACAGAAATAAAGAGATTTCATATAGCCATGAACAAAAAAGAGAACCTTCAGCTTCCTAAAGTTTAGTTGCTGATTTTGTTCCCCCTGCTTATGTAGCAAATCTTGAAAATATTGAAAACAAACAAAACAAAAATCTCCTCTGTGCACCCTCTTTTGCAGTTATATTCCAATACAACCGAGAAATATTAAAACACATAAGTGAGTGTTAAAGTCAGAAATATTAAACCACAACATTTTAGGTAGTACAGAATTTAAGAATGATCAGACAATGCAGTACAGATTGTGCAGTTCCTGCTATGATGCAGTTAAATAATTCTTTCTTTATATCATCAAAGCAGCCTGTCACTTTCCACACGGGACATATTTTTTTGAGTGAAAAGATGTAACAGTTGAATTTTTCAACCTCAAATTCTCCCCGGTAAGTTTAAAAACCAGGATGATTTTGACTTAAGGAGAAAAAAGTAAAAAGAAAAAAAAGAAAATAAAAGTGTCTCAGACACTTTTTAGAGCATGTTGAGAGAACAAACCATTTCATCATTGATTTCACAGTTGTTTTTACACCCTTTATGCTAGAGCTTCATGCTTGGGGACTGATGACGTCGTGGAAACTTACCAGTTGTGGACTTTTAAATAAATGTGGAGTTTTCAGATGCTCAGGTTAAGGTCTCACAGGGACCAACAACTTGATTTCCCCAGAGATAATGCCACAGGCAGCTTATATCCTCCATCCATTGCTCTGGCATTCATTTCTGTTGGACTCTACAGAGTCCTCCCTGGGGGTTACAAAGGTGGAGCGGAGTTTTTTATTCCGCACTCCTTCCCTGCTGCAGGAAAGCCCTGCTGTAAAATCAAGCATCAGTTGGGATGTCCAGCTGCTACCTTAGTGTCAAGACAGCTTGAAGTACCTTGCCTGTGTTATGAGGTCTAGGGAAAAAAAGTAGAATGGGTGCAGTATCCTGGGAATAACAACAAAACCAGCAACACGGATGGACAGAAACTTGGCTGGAAAAATGAGCAGGAGTTGGGAAATAACTCACAAGTTGGAGAGACAAAAGTGAGTGTTCTGGAGGACAGGGAGAAGCTAAGGAAGCGTGCTCAACAGCCCAAAACCATGACAAAAATACCTTCTGTGATACAAAACTGAATTTAGGTGTTCATATCTAAATATTTCCCTGTGTTGTTAAATCCATCAGGAGAATGTCATGGTAGGAGAGATTGCTGTAGTGGATCACATTTGTTTCAACACTGATGAAAAACAAATAGGGTCACGTGACTGAATTTTATTTTACCTTTTAAGAAATAAAAGACTAGAGAAATTCTAGAGTTAAAAAAATCATGTAAGCTGTACAACATCTAGCTTTAAAAGCTACCTTATACCTAAACTGAAGTTATTTGTGCAGTCTGAATACTGGCCTTTAGCTTGCAGCGTTACCACTTTTACAGCAGTTATTCCAGCGTGCTAGAAAAGCACACACACAGCAATACCACAGCTTCACTGTAACTAAATTAAGAAGGACTACTTGGTTTTCTCTGCCCAGTCTCACCGACCTGCTGTAATTTTAAAATTTTCTTTTTTTTTTTTTTTTTATCATGAAAATGCAGTCACTTTTGAAAAACCATCATCTGCTGTGGTGGGAAGGCAGGCCAGCAGGTGCAACAAGTTCCCCATTTGAGTACCCCCTTCTCGTGGTGTTGCTACTTGGCTGTGCTCCTGCCAACAACACTCATGTGGAAGCAGGTGTCCTGACAGAGCAGAGCATGGTTACAGGGATCCTCGCTACCCTGACTCAAGTCAAAACTGTTGCTCACTCTGGAGACACAGAGTGGCTGTTTCCTCACACGTACTTTCCAGTTTGAATCCACAGGATCCTTCAGTAGTGCCCTTGGCAGTGCAGTAGCTGCATGTCAGCCCTGCAGCTGGTGTGCACACAGCCACCAGTGCTGTGCTGATAGACTTGTCATACACTCCTTTAGGCAACTCTTACGTCTCTCAGTTTGCTTAGTATTTTCCACTGCCTGGAAGGACATGCTAATACTTCATGCTTACAGGAAATGTGGGAAGCTTTCTGAGCACTTGTTATTCATTAATCTGGCAAGCTATTGCTGTATTAAGGTGATAAATGGGAAAACTGAGGCACAGAGCAATTAAATGACTGGTCTATGACAAGCACAGTAAGCTGTGGACAAATCTGGAGTAAAAGTTATGAGTACTGAGTGTAAATAAGTTCAGCACCTCAGATAAAAGCTACTCTTAAGAGAGGAAAAATTCAGGAAAAGTGTTACTTCTGACTAGAGGTTCCATCTGTGCGTGTTTGGGCCACTGCCAAAGGAAAATGACCTTTGGTCCCTGAATATCTTTCACCCTGCTTTCTTTATCTGGCTGTTTCAAGTAGTTGTAAGGCATTCTGTATTTGATTATCATCTAGAGGCTGTTAATTTGACCCCATTTCTCCTTTCTGAGCTTTCACAGTTCCTAAAAGGTCAGATTGATCTTTATACCAACTAGATAGTCCACTAATTCACCAGTCAGTCTTTGCAAGTGTCATTCTCTTTATCTGTTTTACTAAAAATAATTCCCCTATTTATCTGTTAGTGAAGATTATACTTCTCCACTGCAGATTAGTAAGGTAAGAGGTAGTTACCTGGAGCTTGTAGAGGACTGCGAAGAGAGAAAGCAACACAGAAAGGTGTCCATGCAATGCTGATGTCATTGCTGATACAAGCAGCTTGTGTACATGAAGCAAGAGAGTGATCTACAGGTGAGAGGTTCCATCTCTCACTGTGCTCCTTCCTTCCTTCTTCCCTCTCTCCCTTCCTTTTTCCTGCCTTTCTCCCTCCCTCCCTTCCTGCCTTCCGCTGATGATTCCCTCCAGTTTAGATAGATTTATTTTTTTCCCACAGAGAGCTGGTGAAGAGGAAAAGAGGTAAGGAGGAAATGATGGAGAAGGTGAATCCCAGATAAATACAAAAACTAGCAGATGTTATGCAAAAGCCTGTATCTGACAAATACAATTCTTCCGATTTAATGGAGTCTCTCTTTTCTTTTTAACAGATGCCCTAAAATGGGCTGTAGCCATGATGATGTAAAAAGATCAGATCTTGTGCCAGATGAAGCACTTAAAAGAGTGATTGACAGTCAGAATAAATAAAGCTGGTCAACATTGGACGAGTGAGCTGGATACCTACTGCCACAAAGGAAAATTTGTTATTGGAGGTCTTGTGAGATAAGCTGCTGATTATATGTAGGTTGTGAGACTGATTGTTATTTTTTAAGTGTTAAGTGTTTAATTTGTAGGCAAATCATTGTTAAGTGTTTCATTTACAGGCAAAGTTGAAGGCCTCAACTCTAACTGAAAGCATTTTTTGAACTAATGAATGTAAGGAATTCCGTTTTGTTTGGGGTATTTTGACCTTCCTGAATTTCTAAACACTTGCATTTTATAAATAAAACATGCTTTGCAGCATTTAACCTTCCTTGTCAGTGTGCTAGTTTTTTCAGCATATTAGAGATGCAGATTCTGCCAGCATGTAACAGTGAGCGTTTTGCTCTATGTTGCAGATAGTTTTGTTACTGTCTCTGTAACTGGGAATACTTGGAGTAGGGCACTCTGACCAAGGATTTACCCTGCTTGGGAGCATGTCCATGTTTTAGTAGAAACCTCAGGAAACATTAATAGAGATGAATTTTCAGAAAGTGTTGCACATCTATACCTTGTGTGTGGACACAGAAAACTGCCACTCAGCTTTGAGGATCTTGGCCTTGTTCTTATAATTTCTGAAGTCTCTGCCCTAACTTAGGCTTTTCTTTTGAGATTCAGTAGCATTTATTTCAAGCTTTTTGTATTTGGAAGTCCCAGAATGCTTTACCTTAATACTCTATTCTAGAAGACTAGTATTCCAATAACAAAATTGTAGATAATACAAATATATTGTAACCATATGCCTTGACTTGAAAACCAGTTAATCTCATTTTATATAGGCTTCAGATACCTAAGCTTTTGGGCACAGATCCAGAAAAGAACTTAAACTTTGTGACACTCTGTTGATTACCTAAATTGCCCTGAACATATCTAGCAGATAAGGCATTACATATATGAGTTAGAAATAGCTGTAGGTAAAAGAAGCTGCCTTGGCAGTCAGATGGCAATTATCTCTTGTCATATGTGAAGCAGAAAATATAGGTTTCTTTGAATTTTGGAATCCTTAGTGGGCTAGGTGGTATCTTCCTATGTAATTTTTCTGAATTTACAATATGACATTTAGTGTAAAATGGAGCTGAGGCACCTGTATGCTAAGCTTTTCACTCTGTGATACTGTTTGCTAGCTGCTCTCCTTTCATAGACCATTATTAACCCCAGTTGCACTTAAGAGTACAAACCACTTCAAACTGAAAATTATTACTTTGTAATTGAAGAATATTAATCTGCAAGCTGATTTCATAGCTGAAAAAGAGAACTGAACCATTATTATTTGCACTGAGCTTTTGTGTTCAAAACACTTCACGGGAATTGGCAGGGTGATTTTCCTGATGTGGTCCAACCCCAAAGGTCCATCTTTTCAGAGCTTGGCAGCGAGCGTGGGTGCTTCTTCCTGTGGAAGGCTAGCTGAATTAGCTGAAAGAGGCTGGGGGGGTGGCTGAGCAGTAGGTATTTGTTTGTATTTTTATGTGTAAAATCAGGTCCCTTTTAAGACACCGCATGTCTCAAAGCTGTAGTTTTTAAGATGGGTCACTGATTTTCAGTTAAATACCACAAGAGAGGATGTTAACTATGGCATTTGTCAAAAAAAAAAAAAAAAGGTGAGGGGGAAATGTCCTTTTGTTTCATCTTTAAGTTGGTGGTTAAATTTATTCTCACACCATTTATAAGCAGAACACTCAGAAACAGGAACTTGCATTGGTTAAACAAGCTCTGCAGTTTTTGACAGAGGTGCACTAACATTGTCCTTCATGGATTTAATTCAATCCCTGGTGATAACCAGCCTCCCAAGTTTTCAGATGCAAAGATGTGCAAACATTTTACATGGCCACAAGTGTCGCACCTCACATTTAGTTTGTGTAGGTGTCTGTGAGTGTGCCTTCCAATAACACATAACATTATAAATGGTAAATTATACCCAGATTAATTCATACTGACAAACTGGTGGCAGCAGGTTTGGTTTGCTACCTGTGGCGTTTGTACCAGCACGGCTTTAGATAGCTGCAGTTCCTGATATGGTTCATTGCCCTCATGTTCCAGTGAGTAATGCTATAAAGGAGATTGCTGTCTTGGTTACACCTTGTTGTCCTGTGTGAAAGAGAGAGGCTTGACCCATCACAGTGCTGCACTCAGGCTGTGTTAGCTAATCCACAGGTAATAACATGAACTGCCTGCTTAAAATGATGCAGCTGGAAGAAAAAAAACAAATCTGAAGCAACACTTCAGATGAAGAGAACAAATAGTCAAGCAGTCACTTATGGCCACTCTAAGAGGAAAGGTATTTTTGAGTGCTCATATTTGTGCCTCAAAATACATCATCTTTCTTCCCCTTCTGTGCTAGTCTGAGCCAGGCAGCACCAGTGAATCAGAGAGCCTGAACAGCAAATGCAGGTGCAGCCTAAGTTCTGAAATCCTTCTCGGTTTCAGCTGAAAGAAATGGACTGATTTTTGGCAGCACTCACCTGCTTAGCTTTAATAACAATCACATGTGAGGTGAAGAGGCATGTGTATTTAAATAGAGGTAGGTTTCTTTCTTTTATCAGTAGAGATACTTCTTTTCAAGCATCTTATCCAGAAAAAGACAAATACTCATGCAGTTATGTTAGGGCTGCTGATGAGAGTACTTGAGTCCCATCAGAATCAGGGATGCACCTCATAGATTCAAATGCTAAATAAAACTGCCTATATTTACTGAAATCAATGAAGTTCTCACCAGAATGTTTGGCATTTCTGAAGTCAAACTATAACATAACATCCAAGGAATCCTAGTATGATGAGTGATTTTTTTTCTCTCAACCTGGAATTTAAGCCATCCTGTTGATTTTTCATGGCTGGTTCTCTCTTGGTGGTTCTTACAAGTGATTTTCCTCCTTATATGGAAAGATTCCAGGGTTGGCCATCAGCATCCATTGCAGCTGGCACTTTACTAGGTGGAAGGACAGACTAATCTTGGCAATTGGGGAAGGTTTCTGTGCCTGTCAGCTCACGTAGTGGAAGTTACAAACCACTACTGATTGGGGGTGGCTGCAGTTACTGACAGCTCTTTGCTCTTTCATCTGCAAAGTTTGGGGTTTGTTATGCAGTTGTGACCTCTCTGTTCCTGTGTGTCCCATGTCCCCCATAAACTCTGCTCGGGATAGAAGTAGCTTGAAAGAGTTAAAGAATAAAAATAAGTGGCTGTGATGAATAAGCTGTATGATCTGTATGATTCACAGAAGTGGAAACTCAACAGCAGTTAAACCTTCAAATCTTAATCTGCTTTGGCTATAATATATCATATGTAAACAGGCATATGTTCACAGGGTAATTTGTGTCTCATTGTCTGACGTCAGAAATTTTGCAATGATATTTAAAAAAAGAAATTCAGAGGTCAGGTGTTTTTTTTCTTTTTCTGTAAGGTGTGCTTTACAAATGAGCAAACCTCAGAGTAGCTGAGAAGGGTCTGTCGCTGAAAACTGGTGAGAATCTGTTGCTGCCAGAGAAGTTCACATTGTATTTTGAGTGATTAAAGAAACATCTAAGCAAATACTGAAATAAAGTCAAGAGAGATCCACACAAACAGCTTTCAGTGGTACCCTGAGGCATGAGCCATTAACACAGCTCACTCCCTCACTTGAACAGATTCTTCCCATGAATTCTCCATTTTACAACTAGAGACTCTGAAGTTTTCAAATCAGTGGAGCCATGATGTATAAAGATAAAAACTAATCAGGCAGGCATCTCATGGAAGATTTAGCACACTTATGCTAAAAGGAGTGCACATTCCTCTGAATCAAGGACATATTCATCATCTCCAGAGCTGTGATCTTATTCATTTTAGAAGAATCAAAAAGACTAGGCTAAGTCAGTGCTCCCTTGAGAAATACCCAGAGCAAAAGCAGGGGCTGCAGGAAGTGATACCGATGACTCACCAGCCAAGGCCAACACACTGCCTTATTTTAGACAATGTCCTCTTGGACATATTCATGTTTCCTCATGAGTGGCTGATGACATAGGTGTTACCTACCTGTGGTCACAAGTACCTCATGACGTTTTTATCAAGAATACCTCTAGTACTGTGGCCAAAACTAGCTTAGAATTCACTGTGCAGCTAAATTCCACTGCCATTTCAAGTGAATCTTAATCTCCACTTTCCCTAAAAATCTCCATGTGTGGATTCTGAGGTGGTGTGTGGTCCATTAACTGAACATTTCCATAATGGATAGTGGTCTGTTGTACACTGAAGAAGATGCACCTAGAAAAGGGCTTCCTGGAGCAGCAAATGTTAGAATATCCCAAGGACAGGTCTTCTTTTCTGTAGCTAAAGCCAAAGCCTTAAGCTGATGGGGCCTCACTACAGGTACAGACTAGTACTCACTGCAAATTCCAAATCTTCCATAAATAATAATTTCTTTTCTGGCCATAACTGTTAATACATAATGTTTCAAACACACGACGTGGTCACAGAATGCTCAGAGGAGAATCCTAAGTGTAGGTGCCAGCGGATTCTAGGCTGCCAGCCAGTAACTACAAAGAGCAAAAACATTAGATTGATTGTTGAGCCAGTGAAATTCTGGGATGCGTGTACATCATGCAGTAGATGCCCATGTATGTGCTTAGCCTCTTGATGCATGAATAATCTCACTGACTTGACAGGACTGTAGCAACGTGCAGAGAACACAGTGTGTTTCATCATTTCAAAGGCTGTGGTGGGCTGAGAAGAAAGCCTGCCTCACTCGCTTGTTCTGATGTTAGTCCAGACCCAAAGACAGAGTCTAAAAGCACACACATGAATTGAATTGCATGGGAAGCTTACCAAAGGAAGTGTTTGCTTGTAAACTCAGTATGAATAGGATCTTCTCTGACCGCAAGGGAAACGGAGACACTCATTCACTGTCCGCTTGTGCAATCAACTTCTGAAGTAAAAAACAGGATTTGGGGTTTAAAACCTGAACCTTCACACGTCTTTCAAGCAACAGAAGAAGCCTTCATGCTTTTTAGTTCGCAAAGGAACAAAGTCAGGAGGTGCTGCTCATAAGACTCCTTGGATTTGATAACAACTGGCTTATCAAAAGGGAATCATTCAGAGTTCCGAGCAACAGCAGCCCTCAGAGCAGCTTTTGTGTAGGCTTGAGGGGAGACATCTGAACACCATTACATTGCACTCCTTTTGATGTCACTACGTGCTCGTCATGTGTTTTATATCTTTGCAGTGTATCTGCTGCCAAGTTCCACAGTGTCTCAGGATGGTTGTAGGTTTATCACAGATGCCTTTCCTGCCTATAAAAAACAT